AAAGACATAGTAGGTGCTTAATAAATGCTTTTAAATTGATTATATTTTTCGCATCTTGAATGTGTCTCACGCTTCCTTCCTTCTTCCCAACTCTTATCTAACGGCAAAGAAGGGGATGTCTTAGAATCAAGAGCCACAGGAATTTTAGATGTCATGTAGGCCAACCTCCAAACACCCTCCTAAAAATTTTGTTGCAGAACTAGATTTCAGAATCCACCTTCTGTGACTCAAAACCAGCTCACTTCCACTGCAAGTTTGTTGCTTCTTATAGCCCATACAGGCATACATTAGATGAAAGCTACTATCGTATTAGCCTGGTTAGGTCAGGACTTCAGCCTGCTTACAAAGACTATTCGTTGAAATGTTTGTATGGGATGGAACCGCCACCTTGTGGGCACTATTGAGTACAACAGTATTCGAGTCAGATCATAGTTTATGTGAAAGTTTACCTTCCAGTTTCTGTATCCCTACCTTATTTATGCTCCAATTTATGCATATCGAGATGGCTACAAAAAATTTCCCTTCCCTTTCTTTCTCGTGGCTTCTTCAAATCTATTGGTCAGGACAGCTGTTGTAGCAATCTCTGGCGACAGACAAGGATGGACTTCAGAGACTAGAGGAGCAAATACTGTCCAATCTCTGCAAAAATTCACCATGCTCTCTTAATCCTGCATTCATATTCATCTGGCCCTTACATAATTTTCTTTATTCCCTTCTGGTTCTTATGCTAGGTTTTCAGTGATATCAGAGCTTTATTCCTAACCTCTGTCCTACCTAATCTTCACTCCAGAGCCTGTACTATAGCTTTGGACTCTGATCCCTAGAGCTCCCATGATTGTCTTGCAGCAACCTCTTGAAGCCCCTGCCCTAGGCTACAGGAGCTGACACCATATGGCTCATTCCTTGGGTGTGGAAGGAAAGCAGTCTAGCTGTCCAGCAGATGGGGAAAGGAGACGTGTATGTCTATGTACTATCCAGCCAGCCAGCCTTGTGAACCAAAACCTTTCTCATCCTGTAAGATTCTCAACTCTTTCACATAAACCCTTCATAAAGGATTTATCTGTTTCATGTGCAGGATGTCCTCTTTTTTAAAAAAAATTTTTTATTAAGATCATAGAATTAGAGCTTAAAGATCATCTAGTACAGCCACCATCATTTTACAATTTGATTTTTTAAAAAGAAATTTGTATTAATATCTCCTTTTGTTTTTACATCAACTAAATTTTTCCATGTATTTCTCCTCTTCCCACTTTCAGGGACTTTATTCCTTATAACCAAGAACTTTTTAAAGAAAAAAAAATTAGCAAAAGATTAATAAATTAAAAAATCTTGGGGCAGCTAGGTGGCAAAGTGGATAGAGCACTGGCCCTGAAGTCAGGAGGACCTGAGTTCAAAACCAGCCTCAGACCAAACACTTGACACTTTCTAGCTGTGTGACCCTGGGCAAGTCACTTAATCCCCAATTGCCTTAAAAAAAAAATCTGACGGTATATTCAGTGTTTCACAACTATGGACCTCCTCTTTTTCTCCCTCCCTTTCCCTACAAAGGAAATAAAGTATCTTTTCATATCTCTTCTTTCAGGGGTCTAACTTGTTATTTTTAAGCTTACAGTATTCATTTTATATTGTTTTGTGATTATTGCTCTTTTCATTTACATTGTCTAGTAGACATTGTATGTAGTTTTTTGGCTCTGCTTACTTCACTTTGCATCTATTCATGTAAGTCTTTCCTTGTTTCTGTATTCCTTAAATTCTGACACCCACATGACTGAAATGACTATTTCCAAGATTATCACCAAGTCAAATCAACTGCATTTATTAAAAGCTTACTATATGTGAGGCACTGTTGTTAAGAAGTAGGGAAGCAGAGAAAAGCAAAAACAGTCCTTGTCCTCTAGGATCCCACGTTCTAGTGGGGGAGACAATATGTAATTTAACTATGTGTGTGTGTGTGTGTGTGTGTGTATGTGTATATGTATATGTGTGTGTGTGTGTATATATATATGGGGTAAATTGGGGGAGTAATCTCAGGGAAGGCATCCAACAGTCTTTTTTCAGTTCTCATTCTACTTTACCTTTTAGCAGTTTGTAACCCTGCTGACCACTCCCTATATTCCCATCTTTCTGACCCTTTCTTTCTCGGGCTTCTCTGTTAAATCACCCAACCCCTTTCAGCCATTAGGAGTAGCTATCTCCCAGCACTGGGTCCTGCCTGAAACTCCGAGGGTCTTCCCCTCCCAGATTTATTCTTCTGTGAAGACAAACTAGGATGCCTTTTGCCTCGATTCTAGGACATTTCTTCAGACGAACTGAGATCTGGGAAAGACCTTAGCTTAAAAAGGCCAAGGTCTACCACTGCATCCAGGGCCATCGTTCGTTATCTTGACTGATGCCTTGCCACTGGACTTATGACTGGATGCTGACGACTTTGCACAGCTCTGCCTCATTTAAACCCAATTCACTTGCCAGTCAAGATATCACCATCCTGATATCCTTGGTCCTCTCTTAGAGCAAGGATGAATAGCAATGACAGTTCCTCACATTCATCATTCTTGTAGTACAGTAACATTTCGTTTACATTGGTGTAGCTCATTCTGTTTAGCCATTATCCTATCTAGGCCCTTTCTGGGCCTTTGATTCTTCATCTGACAAAGAGGGAGGGGTCCAAATCAGGAGTTCTTAGCCTAGGGTTCATGAACTTAGAAAAAATGGTAAATATATTTCAATATATTTAGTTTCTTTGTAATCCTGTATATTTAATCTTCTGAATTAAAGAACAGTATTCTGAGAAGGCGGTCCATAGATTTCATTAGACTGCCAAAGGGGTCCGTGATTAAGTGCCCTAGGTTTAGATGAAGGCCTCTGTAGTCTCTTCCGTCTTTAAATTCTATAACCCTTTCTTTATTAAGGTGACCCTAAAATGTTCCCAGTTTTGATGAACATTGTTCCTTCTTAAATTGGATATTGCCTATGTCTAAAACCTATTAATGTTTTAACTTTTTTTTTGCAGCTGGTAATTATATAATGGATAGGTAAGGAATTGGCCAAAGACAGATTAAAAAAAAAATATGCAGCTCATGTCTAATCTGAAGTGGCCTTAAGCTAGTTAGATTCTTTCCATCAAATTCAGCATACCAAAAATAGAATTTATTTTCTATTTGCACCTTTCCCCAGCATCCCTTTTTCTGTTTAATACACTACCATCCTTCTAGTCACCCAGGTTTGAAACCTTAGAGTCATCCTGTACTCTTCATTCTTCCTTACTTCCCATGTCTAATCAGTTGCTAAATCTTTTTTTTTAAAGTACATTAAAAAAAAAATGAGGCCTTTGGAGTTAAGTGACTTGCCCAGGGTCACACAGCTAGTAAGTGTCAGGTGTTTAGTCTGAGGTCAGATTTGAACTCAGGTCCTCCTGACTTCAGGGGTGGTGCGCTATCTACTGTGCCACCTAGCTGCCTCATAGTTGCCAAATCTTGTCAATTATACCTTCACATCTTTCATATCTGTTCTCACCGCTCTGGTTCAGGCCCTCATCACTGCTCTCCTGGACTATTTCAAAAGCCTTTTAAATACTCTCCCTGTTTGCATTATTTCTCCTCTCCAATCAACTAAAAGTATTTACAGGTATGAAAAATTAAATAATCCCTACTTGCAAGAAGCTTACATTCTAATGAGACACATAACACTTATGTAATATAAATATATGTGAAATAAATGTAAAAAGAATAAAACCAAAGTAGTTGAAATAAAAGGAAAAATAATAAAAGTTTGGAAGGGAAAATACTAGAGTCTGAGGTGCTAGAGTAATTGGGGGAGGTTTTATATAGAAAGTAGTACTCCAGCTAAATCTTTTAGGAAAAGAAAGATTTCTGTGAAACAGAGGTAAGGACATTTCAGATATGGATCATGTCCATTGGAAGGTATGGAGAGAGGAGGTAGAATGTTAAGTGTAAGTTCCAGATAGAAGTCCAGTTTGGTTGTATTGCAGAGGCAGGAAGTAGAGTGATGTACAGTGAAACTAGAAAGATAGGTCCAGGCCAGATTGTAGAAGATTTTTAAAAGTTAAACAGAAGGAATTTTTTCCCCTAAAGGCAGTAAGGAACTACAGCAGTTGATTGGGTAGGGTGAATGTATGATCATGTAAAAGAAAACTATTTTGACAGCATTTTAGAGGATAGATTGGAGTAGGAAGAGACTTGAGGCAGGAAGATCAATTAGGAGGCTGTTGTAATAATTTAGGTAAAGGGTGATGAGGTTCTAAACTAACAATTGATCTTCCAGATCTTAATGTGCATTCCCCTGTTAAGTTCGGTGGCTCTGTATGGCTTCTAAAATAAAATCCAGATGCCTATATTTGGCCTCTTCTTAATCTTGACTCCAGTCTAGCTTTCCAGCCTTATTTCATATTACTCGCCTTACACACTATGTCCTATGTTGGCCTTCTTGCTATTGTGACAATGCTACATTCCATTTCTATCCTCTTCTTAAAATACTTTCTTCCCTCAATTCTGCCTTGTGTAACATCTAGCTTCTATAGCTTAGGTGCCACCTTCTACATGAGACTTACATGGATTTCCCTTCCCCACCTCCCACCCCAAACTGCTTTGAATATATCTTGCTTTTACTTATCTGTGTATTCTTTGTTCACCCTCAATAGAATGTAAGCTCCTTGAGGGCAGGGACTACTTCACTTTTGTCTTAGTATCCTCAGTGCTTAATACAGTCCTGGTATATCATTGGCACTTATAAACTTCGTTTTTGAATTGAATGAAGCTATTTAGACCATTTTTCAGTGCTGTCATTTCTGTGTGTTTTGCCAGCTAGAGACAACCGTTTGCAGCACTTCTTGAGATATAGATGATTTCAGTATGTGATGAAAGAATGCATGTGAAATGAATTACTTCCTTGCTGTTTTAGGCAAAAAGAATAATCACTATGAAATAGTCATTTTTCCATACTCATTTCTAATCTAAAAATGGTTATTTATTTATTTTTAACAGGTTTCCTCCATTTTTTGATGACAACCCATTTGGCATCTATCAAAAAATTCTTGCAGGCAAAATAGATTTCCCCAGGCATTTGGATCTCTATGTAAAGTAAGTAAATTGGCTCCTTTGTCATTGGCTTGTTTATTTTAAGAGCCTTCTAATTAAAATCATAGTTAAAGCATATGTATGACAGGATACCATATTGCAGCATCACATGTGCTATATTCAAAAATATCTGGAAAGTCATCTTTTCCACACCAAAAAAAATGTTTTTAATTATTCAGTTAAATGAAGTGTAACAATTTAATGATCTATCATCTTTTATTTTTTGTACTTCAGTTTTGCCTGAAGTCTACCAAACAAAGGTATTTAATACACCATCAAATAAGCAAGTACAGGTGTTGGTATAACATTAATGGATTTTCTTTACAGTTGTGTCACTGGCAATATTGTTGATAGGTTCAACAGTTCTTGTCTACTTACATTACATTTGTACTTTAAATATCCTTGTGATACAAATATTTCGTGTGTTAACAGCATTAAATGTTGGCATTTGTATGAAAATTGGGGTGGTGGGTATTTGTTATATCTCCCTTATATGTCTTTAAATTTGTAATAATTTAAAAATAGAGTGATGTCTAATTCTATTCCTTCCTTATTGAACCTCTTGCCCTCCAAATTGCTACCAACCTGAACTTTTCTAGAGATTTAACTTTTAGATAGTATAGGTTACTAATGATAATTTCTTGTTTTCTTTTCCTCTGTGTCTTAAAGGATTCAATGGTTGTCTGGCTACATTGGTATTCGTAAAATGGATATAAAACTAGATTAAACTGTAGCAAAATTGAGGTTCCCCCCCCCCTTAAGGGGAAAAAATGTTGAAATGGCCTGTGGAAATTAACTATAGAAAAAATATTTTTCATGAGCAAGGGCCAGGTTCGGATGACTTTACAAACTGTGCTTTTCGAGGACTCCTTCCAGCATTGTTAAGGTTAGTCATTTTCATGAGGGTGAATATTTCTAAGCCGACAGACCTGGAGCATGAAGTTCTCCATCTGCACATCAGGTAGAGTGTTTTCCAGGGGTTGTGCAAGCTTGTTCCATACTCCTCTGGCCCTGGGCTCCGTTTGAAATAAATAAGTCATGTTTCAAAGGCTTTAGCATTTAATGGAGACTTACTTTAAAAAGGGAAGAAAAAAAGAAAAGAAAAAAATTTCTTGTCCTGGAAAAACAATAAAAAAAGGGGAAATCCAGCTAATGTAAGGTAATCCCATTAGTTAGGCATACAAGGAAAAGGTTCACTATTCCTCTTAGTATGATCTATTTTCTGCCAAAAATGACACTTTTGGGTCTTTGCTGTTTGTGCAATCTTACTTTGCAAATGAATAGAATATATATTTGCTTTGAAAATAAAGTAAAAATATGATGTGGAAAAATATTTTATGTTTTGTATATGTATGTATGTGTGTGTATATATGTATATGTATATATGTATGTATGTATATGTATATACACACATGTGATATATTTGAAGGAGTTAAAAATAGAAATATACTGACGGCTAAATTTATGGATGCCAGATCACCTCTGGCTACTTCCAGATTTTTCTTGACAATTGGTTTGAGGCAAAAAGATGCTTAGCTGATGGGTGAGCAGCTGTTGTCTTAGCCAATATATATGTTGGCAGAGCTTTTGCCAGAAAGGATGTGCTTTTATACATGCTTTAGATTTTTCTGTTGGAAAATATGCTTTGAGTTGTATGGGATGAGACCAGACCAGAAATTTAAATTTTCTACTGTATTCCTATTGGTAGCATCTCGTATTTCATTGAATCATAAATCTGTAAAATAAGTCAAGTATCTTGCGAAAGTAATTTTTTTCTACACCTTTGACTTGTTTTTCATCTTTTACTTTTGTCTAGACTCCATGGTGTTGTGGAGATTTTATCATTATAAATGAAATCTTCTACTTTAGCACAATTTAGAAACTCTAAATGCCTAAGCACATCTTTTGAACACTACACATGAATGAGTATGATTTTTTGCCTGTCAGTAAGTGCTGTGCCAATGCTAGCTCAAAGAATTCATTTGGAGTTTATTAAGTACATGTTTATTTTATTCAAAGAAGTTAGTGAATTTGTTTTTGTATTTATAAGATTTGTACCTGAAAAAAGTTCCTTAAATTAAAAAAAATTACTGTATTTTTATTTATTCCTCTAACTTTTCCTAACGAACAACTAAAAAAAGGTAATAACCTCCCTTTTCCCTCTCACTTGTTTGAGTGATAAGTAGCTTTTACAGAACCCTAAATGTGTGCTTTTCCTCAAAAGCCATAGTCTTAGTCTTTAATTTTTTAGCTGACCTTTCTCCCCCTTCTCCGTATCGCTGGCATGGTTCCTAAATGGACACACTTATTAGAAAGGCTTATGCAGTGGCCAGCATTGTCATCTGGTTGTCTCATATTCTCTTTATGTTCTATCTGTATGTAAACCTCTTAGTGTTATGCTTACTTTTGTATTGAGACTTCTGAATATATGGGGCTTTCTGGCTTAAGGGGTCCAAGGTGCTGGAGATAAAACTCAAGGCATTTTAAATGGCTCCAGGGCTCACTTGGACTTGAACAGATACCCCTTCTCTCTCTTCCCCCCAACACACACACACACACACGCACGCACACACACACACACACACTCTCTCTCTCTCTCTCTCTCTCTCCCAGCTCTCTCCATTGATCTGGATGTTTATCTGATGATCAAGCACCTGTGAACTTGTTCTAGTCCTAGCTACTCACAAATAGAGCACAGATGATTGCAGTTTTGATTCTCTCTTTCTAAGTCATATAATTCAAATTAGCCATGTGATTTAAATAATTCTGTACAAATTGAGGAATTGTAAACTCTGTACCTGGTTAGACATGAAGATGATCCTGAGGGATTGGCTGCTCCATTGTGTTTATTTTTTCCCAAAACTTCCCAAACTACTCATAAGTTTATGTCAATTTAATGACTGCGCTGGCTAGCATCTAGTACCAGTCTCAGGCATCAAAGACCAAAGAGTGTGTGTGTGTGTGCGTGTGTGTGTGTGTGTGTGCGTGTGTGTGTGTGTGTGTGTGTGAGAGTGATATGAATCACACTCAAGGTGTTATTATTGGCACCTAGATGGCTCAGTGGATAGATCACTGGGCCTGGAATCAGGAAGACCTGAGTTCAGCTATAGTCTCAGACACTTACTAGGTATGCCATTCTGGGCAAGGCACTTAACCTCTGTTTGCCACAGTTTCCTCAACTGTAAAATGGAGACAATAATAACACCTACCCCAGGGTTGTTGTGAGGATCAAATGAGAATATTTATAAAGTGATTCAGGTAATATCTGGTACATAGTAGGTAATATATAAGTCTTTCCTCCCTACTTTCCTTCTTCCTTTCCTTTCTTCTTTCCTTCCTTCCTTCTTTCTTTCCTTCCTTCCTATGACCCAATGTAAAATAGGGGTGACTTCCAGCCCTGTAGGTCTGTTCCCAATACACATGGTATTTTGGTAGATAATGAACTGGTGTCAACCATATAGTTTTCACACTATGTCTTCTTATTTCTCCCTCTCTCTCTTGCAGAATTAAGTATTTTCCTGTTTTAGTGGCAGACTTTGCTAATTATTTACTACAATTATAATCAGCTTTCAGATTTTTACATCATGGGAGAAGAATATGGCTCATATGAGGAAAAATTGGGCATCTATATCGAAATTATGGAATTATATGATTCCTGAATTCAAATCTCAACCAAAAAATGACAGACTCCATAGGTATTAGAAAGTTTTCCCATCCATCCATCCCCTATCTTCTTAGACTTATGTTGAGCTTTTGGCTGCATGATTGTGACAGTTTTATCTCTTGGATGTCTTAACATGCCTACCTCAATTTGTCATATTTGTTTTACACACCTTTGGGTCAGGATATCAACTGTTTGGTCTTCAACACATCCTATTATGGTACAGGTTTTAAGCTCCCCCCCCCAAAAAAAAAGATATAAATAATAGCTATAACCTTATAAATTACTTTTCTTAATTTATGAATAATATATGTTATATTTGTATGATATCCCCAAGATCACAAAGCTAGTTCCTTAATAGAGACTAGAGGAGCACCTAAACCTCCCCATTCTGAGGTTATTAGTCTTTCTGCTCCTTCTTGCTTTATATTCATAAAGCTTTGGGAGGAAGCTTGGGCATTGATATTTAGGAGTTAGATATATCATAGGAATTCTAAATGCTTGCTGTTTAAAATAAAGCCACAGATATTGTTCTCTATCGTATAATAACCCAACTTTACACTGTAATCTGTTGTTTACCAGGCATTTTCCTCAAAATGATTCTGTAAGATATTTAATACAAGTATTATCATCTCTATTTTGCATGCAAGGAAACAGACTTGGAGGTTAAAGAACTTTCTCTGAAAACTAGTCAAATCAACATTGTTACTGCCCTTGGAAAAGAGTATGCTAATCGCTTGCCATGTGGTTCAACTCACCATTCCTATGACTTCCCAGACCAGTCCTCATCAGTATCCATATATATTTTGCCTTCCCCCCTTTAGAATGTAAGCTCCTTGAAGGTAGACAGTATCTGTGTATTATATTTGTGTCCTAGAACTTGGCAGCATATAAGTGCTTAATAATTATTTTTTCATCGATCTGTCCATTCATTTATTCAGTCACAGTCACACAACTAGTAAGTATCAGAGATAGTACTTAAAACCAGGTTTACTAATGATAAAGTCTCTTTTTTGTGGATTAATGAAGCCGTTTTAGAAAGGAGTAACATTATTGATTCATGTACCAGATTGGTTCTCTTACTAGATCATCCTTTACAGATTTCTAATAGAATATTAGCCAGCCACTTCCCGTTTCTGTCAGAATGAACTGCATCTATTTTGACCCTTTTCAGTATAGTTGTTTGCAACCTTGGAACATGTAATTGAACATGCAGGCTTAGTTTTGTTTTATTTTCAAAGTTTGTATCATGAAAGTTGTGAGCCCGTGGAAAGAGTGGCTTGTACTTTGAATGATAATCCTATAAATAAATAAATAAGTAGATCTGTGGGTAAAAAGACTTGTTTAAAACCGATGTCTTCTATTTTACAAAGATAGTTTGACAGGTATGTTTACTCTAAAAGAGGCCTTTCACTGTGTTATCTGAAGGGCGTAGTTATAGTCCTAATTTTCAGTTTTGCAAAGTGAAAAATCACTTCTGTTCATTCAGCGAGGCCAAGTACTGTCAGTGCAGCAGTAAATAAATTATTTATATCCTGTAGAAGGACTTCCTAATAATAGAAAATTTTATACTGAAAGAAAACACGAAAAGTAACAAATCCGTCCTCTGCTGTTATGTGCCAATTTTTATACTACATCTGTATGTTTACAGTGTGTTGTGTTTGTTTTGGGAGATAAAAGTACCAATTCTGCTACTTTTTTTTCTTCTTGTGATAACAGAGACCTTATTAAGAAACTTCTTGTTGTAGACAGGACAAGACGACTAGGAAACATGAAGGTCAGTATTGCGTTTGTCGTGTATGAAATAATATTCTGCATGAGAGTAACTTAATTGAATATCCTACTATTTACACCTATGAATGTCAACTAAATGAAGAGGTCCATACATTTGGAGGGCTCAAACTTGATGTGTTTTATTTTTAGTCATTTCTATCACTTCCTGGCATCATTACAAAGCTTTTGGAAGTGAAGGTCATGAAAAAATGATACAGAATGGTCCAGAGAAATATTGATTTAAGTCACTTTTTCATCATTATTTTAAATTTCTTATGCATGCCATTTTTAAATTGGGAGAGAAATGCATGAATTTCTGTTATGTATTCAAAACTGAAGTTCTAAATGAAGTACATATATATATACACACACACACACATATAAATACATATAGATATATGTGTGTGTATATATATATAAAATACATACATATGTATATATGTATGTATATGTTTACATAGAATATTATCATTCATTATCATTAATTTTACATTATTTTGTGGCACACATAGAAAAATATTTGGGCAAGCTTGAGATGAACTGAATGTTGTCCAAATGGAATTAAAAGGGATAAGCATGAAGTCTAGTCTTTCAGCTTAAAAAAGCAGCTGTATCAGTATAGGATAGGGTAAAGTAAACCACAGCTTATGTACAAAGGCTTTTGGGTAAACAAACTCCATATGATGAAGTGGTAGCTAATGAGTTCATAGACTACCTTAATAGAAGTATATCATCCAAAAGGGGTGGTCTCAGTGTACTCTGCCATGGTCAGGCCATGTCTTGAGTTGTTGTGTTCAGTTCTGGGTTTCACATTTTAAGGAGGACATTGACAAGCTAGAATGTGTACAGAAGAAGATGACCAGAATGGTGAAGGGGACTGGAAACCATGCTATACAAGCATCAGTTGAAAGAAAGGTTGGTTAGCCTGGAAAAGATGTGGGGGTAAGGGGCAGAACAATAGTTGTCTCTAAATATGTGAAGCATTATTATGTGGAAGAATAATTAGACTTGTTATGCTTGGCTCCAGGGGCAAAACAAGTACCAATGGATGGTGAAATAACACAGAGGCAGGTTTTGGTTCAGTGTCGGAAAAAAAAACAAAAAACTTCCCAACACTTAAAACTCTGGAAAAGATTGTGTCCTATCTCATAGATTACCACTTGGGGATTTTGTAGAGGACATTCTTAGGTGCCCTTAAAGCTCTAAGATTTTTATTGACAAATCCAGGCAATATAAGTATAGAATATATACCATTCAAAGAGACTTTTATAAAATTTTCAGAAAAATTCTACATAACATTATTTAGACACTTTTAATCTTTGAAAACAGAAATCATTTATGAAACATTCACACTTTGATAAAAATCTGTCAATAGCACTCGATGCTTTTAAGGATAACCCCTCCCCCCGTATTGTAGCATATTTTGTCTATGTGTTTGATCTGTTTAATTGTAAAAATATATCTTGGCTCTTTGAAATACGGTCTTCATAAATACTTATCACATTTGATTGGCTTGTTGCAAATTTAGTTCACTATGCATCTGTTTACCACTTACCCTGTGCAAGGCACTCCAGTTATCTTTTATTGACATTGGATGTTTTCTCTTAATTGAATTTAAGTTTCTTGAGGACAAGGACTATTTTGTAATAGCACTTAGTACATAGTAGGTATTAATAAGTTCTTGATTCATTGATTGATCTAGTTTCTCCTGAGAAAGGCCAAATATCTCTTATAGTTTATGTTAAAAGCTGAAAGAAAAACTGTATTACTAATTCAGGGGTCACACTTCCCTTTATGTTTCATTTCCAAGGCTTAAAGTTAGCTGTATCTTATACCCTAATTAGTAAGGTTCTGTAATGAAAGTGGTGGCTGGCCTGGGTATAGTAATTATGTGTTAAGAGTATTCACCATTACAGTAAGAATCTAATTTTAGTGTGAATAGAGGACAATGCATAAATTTGCTAATTGTTCTTCCACATCATGGGTTAGAGGGCTGGATTTATGTATATCTTGGAGAATAAAATATCATAAAATTTTTGAAGAAAAGGATTGAACTTAGGTTACTATGCTACTCAGTATTTTCTACCTACATTTCCTATTTTTTTTTTTGGTACTACCTACTATTGTTAATGTTAGTGATATGGCCATGGGAGAGGTTTTTTAGAGAAAGAAAGGAAATACATCTGCCTTTTTAATACAAATATTTTAATATTAAGATAATAAAGGGATTTCATGCTTCATGAAGGTATTAGACCATGACCTTTTCAGGTCTATAATAACTCCAAAGTTATGAAAATTTCTGACTTTGGGCCTTTCTAACATCCCATTTGCCTATAGGTTCAAGTGTCCTTCTTAATTTTCTCCCCTTTGTAAACCAATATTCTGTTTGTGCAGCAACAGGCAAGATTAAGGCACAAAACTCTTTTGTTAAGGCAAGCATAAAGTGACTGTGCCACAATCCTACAATTGATTTATAAAGTAGAGGGGAATATTTAAATCTCTGCACTGTGAGAGACATAACACTATATTATTCTTTGTTGGATTTTTAAAATCTTTTTTGTTCTGAAATAATTCTCTTACTTTGAGATAAATATCCACTCTAGGTTTGTTGTATTGGAAGAGGCCATGATATATGTTCCATTAGTGAACATATTATTTTAAGAAAATAGTTTCATCTGTCCTACCCAACGCACTCACTCCCTATTTGCTTCTGTGGCCTTTGTGTTATGGATTGGTGAATTAAGTCATGGGGATTGAAGCAGTAAGAGGCTAACAGTATGAATTGGAGGAAGTATAGGCTCATTCATATTTACACCAAATGCTGACTTTTCCACATTGCCACCAGAAGTTATAGGAGAAACTAATACAGTTTGCAAAGTATATAGACTTTGGTTTTCAGTTTTTCAAAAGTTTTCCAATTATTCTATTCTTAAATTAATGTTGACATGTCCCACATAACTGGTTACTTAAACTTAGTGATGGCATATTATTTTGCTTTGCATTTATGCCTTCTCTACTTCTTTTGAAGAATGGAGCAGATGATGTGAAAAGGCACCGGTGGTTCAGGTCTGTGGACTGGGATGCTGTACCCCAGAGAAAACTGAAGGTAAAAAATCAGGCTTACGTGACACAGTCTTCATTTTTAGTCAGCCAGTTTGGGTTACCAAGATAGACCAATAATGAATGTTGTTATGACTGATTTTAGTGTTACATGGTTGAACTGAATAAGCAAAACTGATGCTGGAAAAAACTGAGAAATTCTCAAACTTGTTCATTTTCATACAAAGTGTTTTATTCTTTAGATAATACAAAAAAAAGACCTGATGTGAAGTAAAGGACAACATTTATAGAAAAGCATTTAGTGGGGGACCTCCTAAAGGTTACACAAATCAGGGGAAATTACTAATGAATGCAGTTGATAGTATCTCTAGGGCAACCATGCAAATTACTTCATTTTAAATGTCTCATACTACTAAAGAGCTATCTCAATTTACCTTAATCAAAATATATCTTCATGTCTGAATAGGAATCATTTTAGGGTAGAGGGTGTTAGACCCAACAGACAATGTAAATCTTATTATATGGGCTTGCTAGGGGTGAATACCCAAATCTTCAAATGGGCCACTTAATTTACTTTTAAGGGACATCTGTGTCTTAGACTTCCTTACTATACCTGGAGTATCCAGAGTTCATACTTCCTCAGTTGTGTGAAACTCTGTTACCAAGTTCTGTTTATAGTACATGCCTAGATAAGTATTAATATTAATTAAATATGCCACTGTAATAGATAACAGATATTTGAAAAACAGTGTGTGTGTGTGTGTGTGTGTATATGTATACATGTATAGGTATATATATATATATGTATACATGTATAGGTATATATATGTATATGTATACACACACATTACAGAAGATGTTTTTCTGACTTTAAAGAATTCCATTGTTAACCATGAACAAAGTAACAAAGAATCCTCTTTTAAAACCCTCTATTGCCATGTTTTCTGCCAGTACATTTATAAGCTTAGGTTTACAGAAATGTAGAAAATGTGTAGAATGTTTAATTGAAATCATAGAGTGTTAAAGGTGATCAGTCTTAATGATCTAATCTAAGTCCTTTATAGACTGTAATAAAAATGAAAGCTAAAACCCAACAAGTTTTAAATGACTTGTTCAAGGTTTCCCAGCCAGAGGCAGAATTCCTGAGAGCTGCTCAAGGCAAATTATTACAAGTATGCTTCAAAACTCCCCTCCCCACGTTTTGGGTTCTTTCTACCGTAACCTCATGTCCCTTAGTTCTTTATGCCTGAGTAAACATTGTTCCTAACAGCTATTTAATGGTATCAGTGGTGTTTTCCCATTAAATGTAAAACTATCATTTTCATTTTTAAAAAAATGACCTACTTTTTGTTTATAATGTTACCTTCAACTTAAAAAAGGTTAATGAAACATTTATTGAGTGCCTACTATATGCAGGACAGTGTGCTAGGTGCTAGGCATACAAAAATAGAAAATAAATAGTTCTTGCTTTGTGCTGTGATACATTGTGCTGGAGTATAGGCCAAGCCTTTATGTCTGTCATTTGAATACCTGAACAAACTTCGTGACTAAGCTAGCCATTATATGATGTATTTTTGAGACACAACAGATCTTGAAGACTATTTACTAAATCTGCTCTGATGGGAAGAGAAATCATATGGATAGGTCCTCAAAGCGTTGGAGAATACTCCATGTTTTTCTAAAACATCATCGATATGCCAGTTAACATAATACCTGTTCATAAATTACAAAGTTTGTTTTTCTTCTAATACTCTTTGTTTGACATGCTTCCTTAGCCTCCTATAGTGCCCAAAGTATCCAATGATGGTGATACATCTAATTTTGAAGCTTATCCTGAAGATGACTGGAACAAGACACCACCTGTGCCTCCTAAAGACTTAGAAATCTTTAAGAATTTCTGAGTACAGGGAACCGCATATGGAAAGGTATACCTTTATTTGCCATACTTTAAAAAATACTTTACATTTTAAAACATAAATTTACGGGATAAAATTTTTTTTCCTACCTGTTAAATTGTTTAACTAAGCAGCTGTTGAATAAGACGATAAGAAGTATATATGTAATTAAATATTTTGATGTGCAAACCCTCCAGCATGCTGCTGATTCATTTTAAAGATATCAAGGCTTTTTTCACTTTACTACTGGTTAGTACTGAAATCACAAAATAGTCTTACAATCTGTTTACTTTGGGGGCAGCTAGCTGGCGCAGTGGGTAGAGCATCGGCCCTGGATTCCGGAGGACCTGAGTTCAAATCCGGCCTCAGACACATAGCACTTACTAGCCGTGTGACCCTGAGCAAGTCACTTAACCCCATTGCCTAAAATAACAACAACAACAACAACAACAAAATCTGTTTACTTTGTAGCTGTTTCATTTTCTCTGCTTGCTTCAATAGCTTATTCTTTTGACATCCATTAAACTTTATTCGTGTATTTTAAGCCAGGAAAAATCTAGAAAGATTGAAGTCCTTTTTTTTAATACATGTATGTATATAGAAATATCTTTTGAATAATGCATATTTAATAAATCCCTGACACTTGCCCCTATATATCTGTACCTATATATCTGTATCTTATCAGTGTGAGATTCATCTCTTTGCTTTAGATGTTTCAGTGTCTTGTCCTTTCTAACAATTCAACAGAACTGCAAGCAATTTTTAAACTCAAGTACAAAATAGAGTGATTTGAGCTTTTTTTTTCTTCTTCCCTATCCTGGTACTCTCTACCCCACCTCCACAGACACGCAGTAAAGATAATGAGAAACGTTTTAGCAAAGCAAGGGGAACAGTCAATTCAAACACTTAGCAACTATGCCTTGAAAACTGTAATTGACATTAATTTCTAGGTTCTTATTTATTTGTACAACTTCCCTCATTAATATTAGACTGTTGAGTTATATGGGTAAAATCATGTTATATCAAATTTTAAGACTTAGCCTTTTTCAGATTCTTAATTTTGCCTTGTTGGTTGTTAGTTCACTTAACCAGTGGTTTTAGAAGTTTTTTTTCTCATATTAATAGGAATTGTGAAAATAATTCTGAAACCTTTTGACTTTCCATGTTACTGCTTTGAAAAAAAGGAGCTCAAAGACTGGCTGATAATTGGAAAACTAACAAAAATTCTTTGTATTTGTGCCATTGAATGTCAGAAACTGGAAGAAGATTTGGAATGGGCTGAGCACATTTGAGAAAAAGAACTGGGCATCTGCCAACATGAAGAAATTCCTTCACATGGATGAGAAAGTTTCCACGCTTATATATGCACATATTTATATAAAATGAAATTGGAAGACTGGTTAAGTTTAATTTTAACTGTATAGATCTGGCATCAGCTCAAAAAACTGTTGCTACAGAAAGTCTACTCAGTAGTAGATTATTTGATTAAATTGATTTTTTTAGATCCTTTAATCTTATTGTTACCTTTCTGTTATGCCAGACCTTTTTTTTTCCTTTTGCTTTATCTCATAGACTTAACTTTATAAGTTTATACTAAACTTGTGACATTGTAAGCACAGATTAGTATATATGTATATAAAGAAAACAAAATCACCTAAGCACAGGGATTGTGCAAAGATGTAAATGTTTGTACTTTGCAGAGTCTATGATTTTTATTTTTCAGATTTTTTTTCAAGAGTTTCTTCTTTGGGGAGATAAAACTCTTAAAGGATAAATAAGTTTTTCATCATCTTAAACATTTTATAGTTCTTTGTATAAAACAAAAAGGAATTATGTTAAGATTTGGAATTAAAATGTCCAATGCTTCATTGTCTGTAACTATAGTACTTGAAAGCCTGAGTAAAGAAGAGGAGGTACAAGTTTCTTCTTTAGTTCATGAAAGCCCTATTGATTCATGAGTGTTCAGAAAACAAAATGTCCTGGAAATATTTCACATGTTATTATGCTCTATGGTGTCCTGTTGTGTACTGGGACTTCTCCTTATTTAAGTTGAAGTATAAATCTGACACATAATACCCAAGGCCTTGGCCTCTGCTGTTTTTGGCCTCGTGTAGATTTTTTTTTTCCCCTTTGATTTAGGGAAAGAAGAACTACACAAGTGACAGGATGTAAACATCCAGTGTACCATGTAAATTACCCAGCTTCTATTCAGTTCTGCAGATGCAGCCTGTCTCCCTCTCAAAGATCACCTAGGGTTTTATGGTATTGTTAGGGGGGTGAAAATGAGTTCCTAAGCATCACAATGATGTACATAAATAAAAAGTTTTTTGAATGTGTATTTTATAGTAGCCAGATGTTGAGGTGATACTTAGGGCTGAACTGCAAATTAGGGACCGAAACAGGTGTCCATCCCAGAAACAACGAGCTTGCAGAATTTCTAGAAAGTAGCATGTGGACCTCTGCTCATAATGGTTCATTTCATTTTAAAGCATTCCTATTTCCTTCTATACTCTTCTTCCATCTCTTACTGTTCTAAAATTCCCTGGAAATCTCCAAAGACTTTTTTCCCCAGCAAAAAATAATAAATCTAGTTTGCAAAATCCTCTCATAATCTGTCAACAGTTGTGTATTCTAATTATGTCCTGTGTCTAAGAAGTAAACCCAACAAGACTTCCTATGAAGAATCTGTCAGTGCTAAGGGTGTTTCATACCCATAGCTGTATAATGTATACATACATATATACATAAACACACATATACATACTATATATCAATATGCAGTATGTGTATATGTGTGTGTACATACACACAAATACATACAATATTTAAATAAGATAAGAGCATGTATTAATTGGGTTCCAGTAGCAAAAACAGAGCAATTACTCTTGTGAATAAGTTCTATATAATGAACTAGATCCAGGAAGTGAGCAGATTATTCTTGGAGTATTGTATTGTTTTTCTCCCCCCTCCCTATAAGTCAACAAATGTTTAGTTTCCACAAACTGAAGAAATTTAGCAAATAATACTCATGTAAGTGAAAAATGAGAGTGTGCCTCTCAGTTTGCTATCCCCTAAAGTGCCTAACTCACTGTGCGTTTAAGACATTATTTAGTAAACCTGTTGGATTTGTATGTTATGCTAAAAAATTTTTTTTTTAATCCACAGGCACCATTTTATAAGAGAGTACACTGGAAGAGATGTACTTTTTGTGGGTCTTCCTAGTGGCCTCAGATATATTCTGGTCCAATAATTTTGATGGTTTCTTATTGTGATACTCATTTGACACAGAGATTGGTTTCTGAGTAGCAAGATTTCAGAAAAACAAAAACAAAAACACTTCCTATCATGTTTCAGCATAGTGGTTGAGATAGGTTTTTTTTAGTGTACTTAGAAAAGAACTAACTTCAGAGACAGTTTCCTAAATGCCTTCAGAGAAACCTGACATGCCACGAGAAAACAAGTCATTGTCCCATCCTTGGGCATATCAAACTCATAGATTCCATATAAGCGTTTCCAAAAATCTGGGATCTATGCTCAGCAAAATTCTATTTAGAACAAATAGCCCAATGAGAAAAATTCTTGAATACCTTTTAAAAGAGTATATAAATTTCATTCACAGAACTGTGTAGAACTTAGTCTTTACCTACCCTAATGTTAGGTATTAAGATCAAGGCTAGTCAACATCAATTTCTGAGGTAAAGTGTGATCTAATGTTAAGAAACAAAATCAGTAAAATGACTTCCATAGTTTACTGAGATAAAAACTTATAGCTACCAGAAGTGATAACCCAAGTCTAGTGCCACTTGACTTTTTTATCACATTTATTCTTAAGGAACTTTTTCCTTTGAAAAACCATATACAGAACAACTTGTTTTTAGTACAACTTTAAACTGTACATAAGTTCAGTGTGCTAGTGTGTGTACTTCTTTGGTTTGCTACTTGTTACCTTTCAAAATTTAATGTTGATATTAAATTGAAATAGTATAGGAAGCATGAAATATATTTGCCTTATTTCTGAATAAATATGCAAGAAATACAGACGTGTTAACATTGGTTACATTGTTCTTTTGCAGAACTGTAATCAGCCTTTGGTAGAAAAAAAAAGTGAGACATTAAAAAGAAAATTCAAAGACATTTGATGGTGTTAATAAGTACAGAGTAAACAGTTGAGCACATTTCAATATTTTAAGTGCCACATGTTAGCTGTTCATTAATAGGCCATAAATTATCATTTCAAATAGTGTGATATTACATAAAGGTTGGTTGTAATTTAAATAATAAACCTGGAACAATCATTAAAAGTAGCTAGGGAAATAGTTGGATATGTGTGTATAGACATTTGTATTTATATGGTCAGTTATAATTGCAAAATTTTAAAAATTGTGGGGTACATATCACAGAGTTTGTACACCACTGAAAGTACCATTTTGATTTTTGACTTGCTGATATTCATGATTTTGCAGTATTTTCTGGAATCTGAGTACTACAAAATTTTTTATTTATAAAATGCAGAAATTGCTACATTGAGTGTATTGAGGATTTCATTTTCAAGTGGTAAAATTGTCATTTCTGTCTTGAATTAAGCCAAGGAAAAAATAACACTAACATTAACTTTATATTATATATATATTCAGTGATAGATTTTCCATCCTTTCCCATCAGAAACTGGATTTGTTTTAGACATGAGTATATCCGTTGCTGGCAATGGATGCACTCTGAATTCTGGTACCAAACTCACAGAGTCAACAGAAAGAATAGAAGTAATGGGATATTTGCAACCATACATACGAGTGTATACACACTCGTGTATACACACACACACACACACACACATTCATCTACTCTAGATCTATGTATATGGAACCAAGAATAATTGGTTTGTTTTTATATGATTTCCAGTACAATTCTTTGTATTTCTTTCCTTGAAATTGTACATATTTTTGATATATTGTTTTTAAATCCTACTGAAAAATGAAGCCCTAACCAGGTGAGAGATGTGAGAGGGTGAGTTGTCATTTAAGTATATGGCCTAGGTGGTGGGTCTTAAGGTTGTATACCTTTTCTCATGGTGTTAACTGAAGAGAAAGGGGCACAGACTCCCCTGGTACCAAGGACTGACCAAGGTACCAAGAAACATAATGTGTCTAAACAGTGAAGTGAAAAAAAAAAAGTCAGTGGATTTTAGTGATTTACTGTACTGCAGACTGACCGGCTGATTAAGAATTTTATATTTTCCACAATTTATTTTGGAGTCACAAGACACAGCTTCCATGCCTTTTATTCTTTCTTTTGGTTTGAAACGTATAGTCTCATTATTTATATTTGGTTCACTTCTCTATCATGCATTTTATACATATTGAACAGTTTCTATGTATTACCTTCTTCCCCCACAACAGTGTGAAGGGTCTTACTATTACTTCATCCTAAGTGAACAAAATGGACCTATTATAAAAAGAATTTTTAAGGCAGGTTCAAAATGTCTTTATTTTTTAGAGTATTCATTTGTTCAAGAATTTATTAAGCACCAGGACTTGATGGGTCTTGTGTGCCAGGGTTCTTTGCTAGGCACCAAGGATACAAAGGGCAAAACCAAAACAGACCTTGCCCTTAAGGAGCATGCGTATTATCGGGGATTGGTCATTTCTGTTTATTTTTAACCCAGCATAAGGTTCTAGAATAAAACTTGCATCATGAATGCAATGGAAACCAATGGAAAATTGCTTGATGGTGAACAGATTTCCGTAACTCACACGACCTTAGCAAGTGACTTTTTAACTAACATTAACTGACTTGATCTTCTGCTGTCAAAACATGAGTGAAAACTCAGTTAGGTACTAAACTCATGGTTAACCAGGATTTGAAGGCTTCAGTACAGTGAAAGATATGACCACTGTTCATTCCATTGCCTTGCAGTCCTGAAGAACTGAAATGCAGTGCTTCCTTATGCTAGAGGATAACTTTTCATCTTTAACAACAACAACAAAAACTGTAGCATGATTCTTCTTTTTCCTATTTTGAATACAGACTTGCCATATTCTGCACTTTTCTATGGCAAACCTGACTACTTTATAAATAGTAGGAAATAATAACTTGCCACTGGTTTGCATACTTCATAACTAGTTTGAAATGAGAAATAGGCAGAGTTATTTTAGACTCATTAATATTGTTGGTTGGTAGTCCTCAATCATGTGTAAAAGTACTGTCCAAAGTCATGTCAATTCATTGCACAATAAAATCACTGTGATTTGTATATAAACCCTAGTGAAATGTTACTGCTGTTTAATTTATATAATGCCTGTTGATTTCTGGATTTGTTTAATAAACCTTTGTATCTTTTAAAATGCCTAAATCTTGTTTGCTTCTGTTTATATTGGAAAGACCCCCTAATGTATACAGGGAAGTAAGATTAATTAGGCTCAGGTGGAAAAAAAGTGATTTACTTAAAATAGGTAAACCTTTTTGGCAGCCACACACTTACATCCCCAGATCCTTGGAAGTTCACCACAGATATCTTCAGTTTGTAAGGATCAATCAATCACGAAGCACTTATTAAGTGCCGACTTTATCAGGCACAGTGCTAAGGTACTGACGCTACAAACACAAAAAATAAAATTCCTATTGGGAAGGTGTTCATATGCTGATGGGGGTGACAGATGAGTGTATTATCTTCTCTCTTGAAGGGTAAAAAAAATTGTTTCAAGTAATGAAGGCCTTGCTTTGTACCCTGTGGCAATTCAACTTTTTCTGTGCCCCAAGAAACAATATCATAGTAACCTAGTGGTCAGAAACCTTTTTTTTAAAATAATAATGCTAATATGTTTGAAAGGTGTGACATATAAAAAGTTTGAAAGACAGTTTCTGGGTCATATTATGTTATTAATCATTCTAGCAGTGATAATGCCAAAGAGCCCTCATGGAACCCACTCAATGCTTATATGCCCTTGGAAGAGTGGGCTTTCCTGGGGACGGCACTCAATTCTGATAGGCTGGCAAGTAATGAGAGAGAATAAATATTATAATGAGAGATGGACCTATTCTAATGAGGGGCTAGGGACTTGATTTTGATGATGTCATTTACTTCCAAATTACCCCCAGCCTTGGGCAATCTAGACAAAGGATCTACCCCCCTGCCCAAATCTGTTGGAGTGAAAACATTGAGACTAAGTTCTTTGTAAGGTTTTCTTGTTGGGTGGGGCAATAATTCCATCTTAGATAAGATAGTCTAGGTGGAGTAAATTTTTGGGAAAAGTCAGGGATCTCCCCAATAATTTGTTATTTAATAATTATTATTCTCAGAGGCTTTTCAGAAGAGAACTTCAGCAAAAACAAAAAATTTTGAGTTAATGGCAAAACTCACAAACTTGTCATCCAAATACAATGAAGAAATAAGTGAAGGCTTAAGTCTTTCTCCAGATGTAACCTACTGTAGAATGTATTATAAGACCCAGGTCTACACTCATTTTGACTTTGCTTATTGTTTGTTTATTTAGTGAACTTGGAGCATCTAAATACAAAAACTGAGATTTTATATGTTACTAAAGAAAACTGAAAAATAATGTGATCTTAAGCAGGCTTTACTCCTTAAAAAAAGGGGTGTCTGCTAACTTGATGACCCCAAGCTTGGGATCAGAGAGATGACCATAGTATGTCCTGTAATAGGTGCTGGAGGCTGCTTGAGTTATTCTATATCTTAAGCTGGCTGAAATTTGTCAGCTTTCTTATTTTATCTTCCTCTCCTGTCTGGTCCACTTGAGTCTAAAACTTCAAGTGAAAGTTATTTAATTGCTTGTTTCATACTGTTAGATATATAACTAACAATTCTGGTTAGTATATGTGGGCTTTCAAGGTTATTAATGTAGTGTGATTAAAGTAGTTGTGTTTTCTTTCCTACCATGCCTGAACCCCAGTGCCACAGAACTGCACATTAACAGAAAGGTAGTGCCAGTGACTTCTTTTTACAACTGTTGGGTAATCATTGCCAGCTTCTTACCATTATTTTTTTATGATCCACCTTGTGATGCCAGTTGAACAGATTTTTCCTTTCTATCAGTCATGGAATATCTATGTCAGCCTCATGTAAATGAATCCACAGGTTTTATATAAACTTTTTTCTGGTTCTAGTTGGATTTAAAACTTTCTGGTCTTCCAGTAAACAGGAGCATTGAGTAGAATTTTTAATAGTAAAGAGTCTTGTGTTATCGTTGTTGTTTTCAGAAGGAATGGAAGTGATAGTGGTATACCCTATTTTATAAGATCATTGATTTGGAGATAGATGGACACCTCAGAGCCTATTTAGTCCAACTTCCCTTATTTTATAGATAGGGAAACTGAGGCCCAAGGATGGGGTCACACAGGTAGTAAGTGGTGCAGACAGGATTAAACCTATCATGATACTAGAGTCAATGCTCTTTCCACTGTACCATTCACAGTGTGAGAAGGTGGGTGATGGAAGGGGAAAAGGATATTTTTTAGCTATGAGTTGATGTAGAATGGAATTTGGGTCTAGTGCAGGGAAAGTTGGAAGAACCTGAATTTCCAGTTTGCTTATCTTTCACTTTTCTCATTTGTCACTCCCTTACCTTAATCTAACTCCTTCTGTAACCTTTGATCATTCCTTGCCCTTTTTTATGTATTCATAATTTCCCAGTGAAATATTTTTATTCATTCATAATTAAGAACTCTAATAGTTATGCAGAATGATTTTAAAATACTTTCCTCTTAAACACAATACAAGTAGTATATCATACACGTTTTACAAATGAGGAAACTGAAGCTAAGTGAGATTGCATCATTTGCTCAAGGTCACTCAGCTAGAAAATATCAAGTGCAGGCTTTCTGATTACAAAGCCAGTGCTTGTCCACCATGCGTACTATCTCCCCCGTAAGTATCAGCATTGGACATTCAAATAAGATTTCCTTAATCCAGTTGTAGGAAGCCACTCTTTCATTTATGCCATGCTGCGTGCTGCATCTACCCATACCTCATTTATTCAGTCAACAAATATTTATCAATTGCCAACTGTAGGATAGGCAATAAGGAAGGGGAAGGATGGCCTAGAGAAGAATCATGGGATTTCAGAGTTGGAAGGGTCATATTGTTTGTTGTTGTTTATCTTTCACATGAAAATGACTGCGACATCAGGAGGTGATATCATGACATATAAGTGAATTGGATTTAACTGAGGGAAGCCTGTACAAGGTCACCAGCTCCCCTCTTTCTCCCCTGGAACCATCTGGGTCCAATGACCAGACAGAAATCAGGACAACCAGACACGGCCCAGGATGCAGTGGGGGACCTTGGCCCTTTTTAAACTACGTCTCAGTTAAGCTAAGGTCTCAGTTTAACTCAAGCAAAGCCCATTCAGTGATTAAGACTTAATAATATGAAAGATATGAAGCAGAGAATGGCCTCCAAAAAATGGCCTAGTTAAAAAAAAATTGATGTGAGTTGGGGGGAATCCTCAGGGTTTCTAGCCAAAACAAAAAGGGCCCTAACCTACAATTAGTAGCTTAAAAAAAAATGCACACCACAATTACTCATTAAGTAGTAACTTCCAGCCTGTGCTGGAAGACCCCTATTTCACTTTTGGATAGTTATAATAATCTGAAAGTTTTCTTGAAATCAAGCTGAAATTTGTTTCTTAGCAACTTCAGTCCCTGTTCCTGCCCTCTGGGGTCAAACTGAGAAGTATAATGCTTCTTTAAATCCTTGGAAGACAGTTATGTGCTCCCCACCCCACCTCCACAATCCTCTTCTCCAGACTTAGTTTCTTGAACTCATCCTCACTATGTGGTTGCCCTCCTCTGAACTGTAGGAACTTCACCAGCCTGAAGTTTCCAGTTAATCGTGCTTCCCTCAGCTTGTTTTTATAAGCTGATTTATTTAACCCCAAATCAAGACACTATCTATCCCTATTAAAATTTTACATTGCTATATTCAGGCCGATGAGTCTGACAAGATCTCCTTAGATCTTGCTTCCATTATCCTGTGTGTCACACATCCCTCCCAGCTTTAAAAGTCCCTAAAGCTTCTTTCACCTTCTTATGTAGACATTCTTATCTCTTAGCAGCTTCATCTGGGTGGGGTAAGTATATTTTAGTGTCTTTGTAAATTTTGATGGCCAAAAGCTACCTAGTTAACTTGGGGTTTACTAGCTATATTTCTCTCTCAAAGACCAAACCTTAAACCCAATTCACTCTTGATCTCCTGGTTTGGACAACAATAGGTCCCTGTCCAAGCACCACCACTTAATGGTTATTTTTTTGGGCCCTCTTGGCTCAGAGTGAATGCAAATAGTTCTTTCTCTTTTGGCCAGCAACCCTGATGGTCTTCCCCTCCCAGTTTGATTTTTTTTTTAATTATTAAAGGGCCATCCTTTAACTCACTTCTTAAAGAGGTCTATTCACTGAATGGGCATTGTCTCATTCAAAGTGAGAACCTGAAAAGACTTTAGCTTTTAGGGCCAGGGTTTCCTATTGCATCCTGGGCCCTCTCTAGTCATCCTGATAAATATCTAGCCACTGGACCCAGATGGCTCTGGAGGCAAAAGTGAGCCTGGTGAGTTTGCACAGCCCTCCCTCCATCAAATCAAAGTCATTGCAAGTCATGTCATCATCTCCCTGATCTACAGTCCTCTTTGAGAACAAAGGACAAACCACAACCTGAGAGTTCCTGGACCCAAAAAGATACCTCTTCCACTTGCTCCCAGATGGTTGACATTCCTTTAAAAAGGGGAAAGCTTTTCATTCAAAAATTAGAAATAATATTTGAAGTAGAATCACCCGTAGAAGAGGTAATATTATTAATTCACCCATCCCAAGGTATAAATAACTGATATCTTCATACCTTCCTCAGAGGTTTTGATGGTTAGAGAACACTCAGTGTCAGAATTGGATAAGAGGTCCCCAAGAGGGGGAAAAAGAAGCTGGGGGCTCAAGACAATAGTTCAACCATTTTGCAATCCCAAGTACCTGGAATGGGTCTCTAAAAGTAAGGATTTTTCTAACAGTTTTTCAATACAGCAGAATTAGAGGGAAAAGGTAGACAAATTACAAAACTTTTACAAAGCAAATGAGTCAAAACTAAAAGAAAATTGTCTCTAAGTCTCTATATGTTTAGCCAAGCCACGATATAGATAAATAAATAAAAGATATAGTTTGTATGTCAGTTACTTCCTCTTTCCACATCATGTACAAATTTAAGTTTGGCCAATTCCGTTTTCTTTCTCTAGCTTAGTATTTAAAAATACTAAGACATTTAAAAATCTAAAAAAAATTAAAATTAAATTGCCTTTAAAAATTAAAGCAAACAAACAAACAAGGATTTTTACTTAGCAGCAATGTAA